TGGTAGGGGAGTTAGGGTTCTCTTGTAGATGACCAATAGGAAGTTGGATAGATGAGTCCTAACACTTATGGAAGTGGTTAGGTCTGAACACATAAATGTGAGAGTCATCAGTTTATAGGCGGTTTTATATTTGGTCCTGGAGAATATCACAGAGGGGAAAATGTATACAGAAGAGAAAAGAGGGTGGAGAACTGGGCCCTGGGGCATCCTGCAGTTAGAGATCAGCAAGAGGAAGGAGAGGGATTGATGGACACAAGAAAGATCCATCAGAGAGGTGGGAGGAAAGCCAGGAGATTGCTTCCTGGAAGCCAAAGGAACATGGTGCTTAAGGAGTGAGCTGTCAACAGCCAGTGTTGCTGGGAGAGTAAGATGAGGATGAAGAACTGACCACTGGATTTGGCAATTTGTTGGCTATTGGTGACCTTGACGAGAGCAGCCCTGGCTAGATTGTGTTAATGTGAAGAAGTGGAGACAGCAAGTATAGACAACTTTTAGAGGATCTTGTTTTTTGCCTATGAGATAGTAGCTGGAGAAGGATGTGGTATCCAGAGGGAAACAAAAAAATATAGAGAGGACAACAAATAGAGTAGTTACACAATTGTGAGGCAGTAACCTTAGAACACAGTCTAGAGGAGGTGAGAGGTGATGGGGCCCAGTGTTCCAGAGGAGGAGGCTGTACCAGGAGCAAGGATGCTTCACCCATGTCACAGGGAAAGAGGCAGAGAGAACAGGCTCTCATGCCAGGAGGCCGGCACATGTGGTGGTGGGGAGATAAGTTAGTGCTTGCCTACTGTTTCTTTTTCCCAGTTGCATATAATGCCTGGCTGTCAGCTGAAATGGAGGATTAAGAGAATGGTGGCTGGAGGTTTGGGGAAAGAGGAGAAGGTATGGTAATGTCATCTTGGAGAATAGGGTTAAAGTTTAAGGCAGATGTAGAATCTCTTAGAGGTGCTGAGTGCCCACTTGAGCTCTGTGGTGAGAAGTTTCAATTGAAAACCTGTCAGTCCAGTTGTATTATTCTCTAGGTGCTCTGGGACAGGTGCCCCGTAGAGAGTCAGGTTTAATTGGAGTTAGGATCTTACCTGGTGAGTCGCTATAGAAGCCCAGAGAGGCAAGAGAGAGTGGAGCATATCTTCAAGTAGGCGATTCCATATGGGGTCCCACAAAGTCTAAGCTGGGAAAGGAGGGAAGAGGATGTGACAGGGGTGATGGATGGAAAAATAGATGAGGCAGAAGGATCGCTAAGTGGGAACTAGAGCGGGCCAGCTGGATAGATAGCAGGTGACGCAGTTGTTGGTACAGACAAGGTCTAGGGGGTGAGCAACTATGTGGGTGGGTTTGGTGATGGAGAAAAGGATTGTAGGAAACAAGGCAGCCAAAGAACTGAGAAGTCAAGGTGTTGGATGTGAGGTCACTGAAGATGATAGTAACTGTAGTAAGAGAGAGAAAGCCCAGTGAGCCAGGGGCTGAGATGGTCCATGAATGAGAGGATAACCAGGATATATTATTTACATCTCAAATTCCACACATCGGAAATGGAAGTTATCAGTATCCCCTTAAACCTGCCTCTCCATTGGGTAAATGGTGCCACCACCCAGAGCCAGAAACCAGGGTGTCACTTCGATTTCTTTCTCTACCAGATCCCACACCCGAACAAATCACCAAATCTTTTTGATTGTATCTCATAAACAATTCTTAAATTCAGCTACTGCTTTCCATCCCTGCTGCTCATACCCTAGTTGAGGCCATTGTTGTTTCCCACTTGGACTGCTGTGCCAGGTTTCAAACAGGTAGCCCTGCCTTGGCCCTTGTGCACTGTAACCATAGACACTGCCTATCAGATCATGTCACTTCTGTGCTAAGTCTCTCCAGTGACTTTTCACTGTCCTTAGGATAAGGCCCAAAACTATTAATGGAGCTTTATAGAGAATAACTGCCTGCTCCAGCCCCACACTATTTTACCCTGACTTCTGCCACAAGCCCCCTCACCTGGCTCCAGTCCTTCTGGGTGATTTTCCTTCTCTGTGGAGTTTGCTTTCCCTTCTAGGTCTTTCACAGGTTGTGCCCTCTGCCTGAAATCCCCTCTACACTTGGCTTGGCAAAATCCTCCTCTTTCTCTAGGTATCGGCTTCACAAGTCTCAGGAAAGCTTTTCCTGGATGGCTGGGTGTTGGGGCCACCTCCCCCCGCCCAGCACCCCACACCTTTCCATTATGCCACGAGTTTAGCAGCTATCCTCTTCATAAAATGTAAGCTTCATGAGGTCAGGGACTGTGTTTGATTCTTCCTACATGAATCCTCAGCACCTAGAATGGGGCTTGTCACATAAAAGTGAACAATATATATTTGTCGATCTGAATCAAATGGAAGATTCTAGAGGTTGAAGAGTTCTGGGTGAAGACAAAGTCTGGGTTATGGTCCGGAGAGTGGGTAGCTAACTGGGGTGGAGGATGAGGAGGGCATGCAATGAAAAGAACAGAGTGATACACAGGGCTCCTGCTGCCCTCGGTCCTGAGAGGTTACTAGAGGACCCGGAGTCATGTGGTCAAGTCTTTAACCAGTGAGAAGTAAGTGGCAGCGATGGGGATGGGACAGAGGGTAGAAGAGACAAAGGATGGGGCCTAAACCAAATGAAGGGTTTTCAAGAAGGTGGGGATGGAAAGGTTAGAGAGTGGTAGTGAGGGTAGTTGGGGCTCTTGAGAGGGTGGGCAGGCCTGGGATAAGAGTGGGAAGGCTGAATGTTGGCCCAATGTGAGCCTCTACAATGCGGAGTCTGGAATCTCAGGGGGAACTGACTGTAGCTGGTCTGCTGGCCTGCATGTGGGAGCTATATTTCTCTAAGCATAGGGCATCTGGTTTTGAGCTGGCACCACCTTGTTCTCCAGGGCTTGGTGGTCACAGCTCTGGTAGAGCACCCTGGTTTCCTGGGATCAGGAGTTCAGCCAATGGTATTGGTGCCCTGACATCCCTGTTACTGGGGGATACCCATTTCCCCAGCTGCTGTGCATATTGGCCACTCATGGTGTATAGCTGTCCCCAGAGAACTGACCTTGACTGAATGTGAGCCACCTACCCCTTCCTGCCAGTCCTCGTGCCCTCAGGGTGGACTGGAACCAGTGGCTGACTGATGCAGGAGTTGCAAAGCCTAATGCCCTTTCTAGGAGGCTCTCCCTGGACCACAGGGGACACAGCGCCGGACAGACTCAGACCATCTGTGTGGGCTTGGGAGGTTGCCTCTCTACCCCCAAGTCTCCTTATCTGCAAATAAGACCTATAGGCTGGATTTTGTTAAAACACCACCACCACATGCAGATAAGAAAATCTGCATCCGTACTCCCTGCGTCAGGCATGGTGGAGGATTCAGATGAACAAGACCCAGTTCCCACCACCAAGCAGCTCATGGCCCCTTAACTCGTTTGCTAAACATTGACTGAAGGCAGCCAGGGACTTGGAGGGATGATGCAGTGTTCCGTCCATGAAGGGCTCACAGACTGCTGGGGACAATGGCAGGGGCACAAGCTAGGCTGGTGCCCGGAGAAGGTGGTTAAGCTGTCCTTGGGTTTGAGGAGGGGTCCCAGGGGAGGGAGGGAGGAACTCTCGGGCAGAAGGTGCAGCGTGTCTGAGGGCATGAGGCATGAGCGTGAGGTGCCTGGTTGGGTACAAGGAGGGAGGAAGCAGGGGGAGCCACTGGGTGGTCATCAGGGGCCAGGCTGAGGGCAATGCGGGGGATGGTAGGGGAAGAATTCTGAAAGCAGGAGGAATGACATGGTCAGATTCATATATAGAAAACCATGGTGTGCCTCTAGTGGGCAGACGGGAGAGGACCCATGAGGGGTAGTAAGGCTGCAGGGGGCTGGGCAGACTCAAGGGGTACTTAGGGCTGGAATTAGAGGGATTTGGTGCTGTGCTGGGATGCAGGGGGTGAGAGGCTGGGAGGTGGGGTGGGGAGGCGTGAGGAGGTCAGACCTGCTCCTGGCTCGGACACCTGGGTGGGTGGCAGGGGCTGATGTGTGGGAGGTTTGGGGAGTTCAGGAGCTGCTGAGTGGGGGAGGCCTGGGGGCCTCCTGGAGAGGTGTACCGTGGGCAGTTGGGGGAGCTGCTCTGCGCTTCAGAGGCATGTCCAGGCTGGAGGTGTGGTTTTGAGAGTTGTCAGGGTCTGAGGGGTGAGGGTGGGGTGAGAGGAGATGAGGGAATGTGTATTCAGCCCAAGGAAATCCCCTGCTTGAGGTCCTACAGGAGTCCTTGAGCTCTGACCTTCAGTGGGTCCCTGGCCATGCAGGTGTACCTCCTAGAAGCCCTGGAAGACCCCTCATCCTGGACTTGCCCTCAGCATCATTCCACTCCCACCAGGCTTCCCCTCTCACCCTCAGAGGGCCTCACCTCTCTGGAACCTGTGCTGGGCAGGGGCAGAGGGGCTGGAGTGGGGGAGGCAGAGGCCTCCTGAGCCACATGCCTTCATCGGAGGGACACTCACTGAGGGCTGACTCACGCTGGGCAGAGGTTCTCCTGGGGTCCCTCTCCTCCTGCCTCAGTTAGCTGGTTGCACAGTCCAGAGCCCCCTGGAGCCCCCCTGGACATCCCCTGCAGGGTCCTGGAGGCGAACTGTGTGTGTGTGTATGTGATGGGGGAACCTGGATCTGAGGTTTGCTGATGCAGGTGCCCACTTAGTAGTCCTGGCTCCCCCTCTGAGGTCCATCATGAAGCCCCCAGCTTTCCTGCCCACCACTTCTGACATGGTCTGCAAAGTACTGGGAAATCATATTTATTATAGGTATTGACGTGCCCTATTGCCATATGCAAAAACCTCACCAGCTGTCAACCTCCCTTGCCCAGCGCTCAGAACCCAGAGACTGAACTGCCCCTGCACTGGCCCCTGGGTGGGCTTGCTGAGCCCCACACCCACCTTCCTCACCTGCCCTGTGCTGCTGTCCTGCTTAGGGAGGACAGTGGCCTTAGGGAGCTGTCGGGGGACTGGGTGGTCCCAGCTGTGGATCTCACAGGTTATGGGTACCCACCTGCATCCACTGTGGCCGGCCCAGCCTTCGTGAGCACTGAGTTCCCATACTGAGAGTGATTTTCCCGTGAGAAGGCATACAGTGGGTGTGCACTGGGAAGGTGACCCTGGGGCTGAGACTGCTGGCACCTGGGGCCAAGGGTCTCCAAGCACTTCTTGCCCACCAGGTAGGTGGCCTCATTGAGGCTGAGCAGGATGCAGAGCACAGACGTGGCCACCATGAAGTAGGTGAAGACCTTCTTCTCTGTGGGCCGGGAGATGTAGCAGTCCACGGTGTGGGGGCAGGGTGACTGGGAGCAGGCCACCACGCGGGGCATGTCGTAACCCTGGTAGAGATGGTGGAAGAGGTAGAGGAAGCCAGAGTTGATGGCGGCCTTGAAGATGAGACTCAGCAAGTACGTCCACCAGAGCCCACCCCGCTTCTTGCTCGGGTTGTCATACAGAGACGGGGCATTGGGCCCATGTTTCAGGCGGTGCCGCCGCTCATGCTCCTGGCGGTAGGCCACGTGCATGACCACGAGCAGTGAGGGGCACGTGACCAGGATGAGCTGCAGAGCCCAGAGGCGCACGTGGGACATGGGAAGAACTCATATAGCAGACGCTGGGGCAGCCCGGCTGCTTGGTGTTGCAGATGAAGTCCCTCTGTTCATTGCCCCACACCTTCTCTGCTGCCACCACGTGGACCAGCACGCGGAAAATGAACACCACCGACAGCCAGATGTGGCCCAGTGCTGTGGAGTACTTGTTGACCCCAGTTAGAAGGCCCTGCAGGGACGCCCAGTTCATGCTGATCGTGTCCTTGGTGTCTCACGCGAATGGTCTCTGTGCACTCACTGGGCTGGGGGCCACGAGGCCTGGGAGAACCTGGAAGTGGGTGCCTTTTATTGAAGGTTTGATTGGCAAAACTGGTTCACAACTACTGTGTCATCATGTCCTCACTCGCAGTGACTTAGGTGGAGTAGGGATTGCCATTCTCCCTATTTCACAGGGGAGTAAGCCAAGGCCCGGAGGTCCCACAGCTGGAAGCGGTGGAGCTGGTCTCAAACTCCCATCTTCCAGTTCCAAAACCAGGGAATATTTCCTCTATAAAGTCATAGATAAATGTAAAGAATCATCATCCTGCACGGATGCACCTGCCAACCTCCTTGACCCCAGTTTCAGTCCTGTGGGTCATAGACTTCCAAAGAAATGGTTAAGAAGTTGTGGATCGGATGATCTGCTCTCCCATCAGCGGCCAGGGCTGGACCAGGACAGGAGGGGAGGGGCGTGCAGCTTTATCCTCCAGCTTCCTCCAGCTTTTACTGAGTGTCACGTCAGCCTCCTGGGCAGACCCCTGTGGGATACCCGTCTTCAGTCCTCCTCTCCCCCAACCCTGAAGTCCTGACATTCCCTCTCAAACTGAACATGTTTCTCTGGGATGCGATGGCTCAGCAGCAGCCTGCCCCTCCCCGAATCAGTGCTGGCCCCGAGGGCCGACTGTCCTGACCACAGTGGGTTCCTCTGGAATTCCAACCGTTCCAGCTTTAGGGAGGGCTTGGGGGAAGGACAGAGGCAGGATTCTGGCACGGTCCTGCTCCCAGCATTTTGTTTTCCCCTCAGGGACATCCTCTTCTTTTGCTCAGTGGCCATTTGCTAGCCAAGCCTCCTACTAGTCCTAGGCCTCTGTCCGGTGTGCTCCATCCTCTGCACCCCCTCATCTGGAGAAGCACCATGTTCCTCCTCCCACCAGCCCCTCCCCTGTGCCTGACCCAGATCTCAGCATCTTCAGGCCTCATGCCCTGGGACATTTTCTGAGCACCTGCCTCTGGCTTCCATGGCAGAGTGCATCACCAGTGCTTAGATGGTCTGTTTCTCTGTCTTCGGTGCCAGACTGTCAGCTGCTGGAGGGCAGCCTCTGCATGCCATTCGTCTGGTTCCCCAGGGCTCAGCACTGGCCCGTCCCAGTGAAAACACAGTGTTTGCTGCACCAGAAACCCCACTTCTTCCTGGTCCCTCCTTCCTGTCTCCCCTCTGGTCCTCTGTCCTCCCTCTGATCTGGCAGGACATTCCTTCCCCCACTTAGGGCTTCCTGAGGTTTCTCTGGGAACCCTCTTTCCCTTCTGTGCCTCCCTGAAGCCCAGCCCAGTCTGTCCGGGCCTTGCTTGCCAGCTTGGTCTGCCCGATTTTGTTCTTACCTTTCTTGGGTCTAGCAGCCACTCTTCTGTCCCTGGGTTTGTCCTTCTGCCCCAGAGCCTCCTGAGGCAGCTTTTGTTCCTTACTCCTCTGTTGGGTGGGGCTTTCCAAGCCAGTGAGCCAAGAGAGAGTGGGGTTGAGTGGGGGCCCCCAGCAGGTGGGCGGATGTCCCAGGGCACATATTCAGAGCAAACACCCGTGGCTCTTCTCTCCTGGCCCCTGCCTTTTTCCAGCCTGGCCAGGCATGGCTGGGGTCTGGCTCCCTGGGCTGGCAGGTATGTGGCTGAGACCGCAGGAGCATGGTAACCTCATGCGTGGGCCTGGGACAGCATCAATGGCATTGCCCCATCCCCTTCCTGCTGCCTTATTGGCCCCTAATCCCTGTCCCCAGGCCTCTCTCCTGTCCTTTTCTCTGGAAACCTGGTCCTCTGAGGTCCTCAGTAGCTGACATCTTCAGAAAAGGGAGCAACCTTGATTCAACCTAGGATCACAGTCCATCCTGGTGGGGACATTTCTGGGGACTAGAGCTCGGGCTGTTGTTGAGCTGTGTAGGGGTTAGGATTCCCAACTATATGGTTCTTCTAAATAAGGGCACCCACTGCCCTGGTGGCGACAAGGAACGCAGGTGGGCAGTGGGCTCAGGGCCAGGCATAGCCTTGCAGTCCAGCCTCTGTGGGCCTGGGTCTCCAGGGAAGGGGAGCTACAGGGGGGCCTTGGGCTTGCATACCCTTGGCTGGGACAGTGAAGGTTAATGTACAGCCAGGGAGGGGCTCTTCTGCTTCATTTCCCACAAGCATTCATTGAGTACTTCCTAATACCACTGGTGAACATTTATGGGGCCTTTTACAGCCGGCTAAACCCCCCACAATCGTGAGCACATCCAGTTCTCACAGCAAACCCTCAGGCTAGGTATTATGAACCCATTTGGAGAAGAGCTGAAATCAGTTTCCTAGAACTTGGATTTGAATGCAAGTGTTTTGACTCAAAAGTTCATGAATTTTCCATTGTAACACACAGTCCCCCCCCGCCCCCACTAAGCTCCTGTCTCTTTGCAGACAACCCATGGGCCTAAAACTGCAACTGGGGTAAAGGTTAGACTTGAGCATGAGCAAGCAGCCTGCCCCCCAGGGGTGCTGGAGGACCCTTTTCTGGGGGAGGGATTGCCCCTTACCTGCCTAGATCAAGTGCAGCCCTTTGCAGAGACAGAGAGCTTGACCCAATGACCTGATAAGGGTCACAAGGCCAAAGGACCAAATGGCATCTTGAATTAGTGAATGAGTTGACTTTTATTAAGCCCTGCCTGTGCACCCTACACATTGAAGGCATTTGTACGTTGTTCTCTAACTAACCCCTCCTCATAGCAACATCCCTGTGAGGTGGGCCTCACTGTCTCCATCTAACCCAAAAGGAAATCGATGTGCAGCCCAGGGGGTAACTTGCTCAAGGCCACACAGATGGGGCAGGTGGCAGGAGCTGGGGACCAGAGATTTGATCCCAGGCCATCCGCCCCTCCCTCTTATCTGTCCCACTCGAGGCTCAGCTCCTCCGGCCCCAAGGCTGCACCTATGAAATATGGGGACTTTCCAACCCAGGCCTGACCTAGCACCCGGGGCGGGCAGCACCTCACAGGACGGTTTTCTTCACGTGGTCTCGAGGGTGGTCTGGTAAGAGAGGAGGTGGAGCATCTGAGTCCAGAAAGATGAGGTCGCCCGAGAGGAGGTCATCCTGTTTGCAGGAAGAGGTGGCCCAGCTTGGGTGCTGGCCCACGCCGGTGGCCTGGGTCTTCCTCACCGCCAGGCACTCGCGGCACCTCTTGCTCACCAGGTAGGTCAGCTCCATGAGGCTGAGCAGGATGCAAATGGCAGCCGTGGTCACCATGAAGAGAGTGAAGATGTTCTCTGAGGGCCTAGAGATGAAGCAGTCCACCACACTGGGACATGGAGCTGCGTGGCACGTGACCACAAGAGGGAGGGTGTATCGGGGGTAGAAGGAATGGAACACGTAGAGGAAGGCAGCGTCCACACCAGCCTTGACCACAAGGCTGCAGACATATGTCCACCAGAGCCCCCTTGCTTCTTGCCAGGGTTCAGGTAGAGGTGCCTGCCACCCTCCCCTGCTGCCTCCCGGTGCTTCTTCTCCTGAGCCTCCCGGTAGGCCACGTGCATGACCACGAGCAGTGAGGAGCACGTGACCAGGATGAGCTGCAGGGCCCAGAGGCGCACGTTGGACATGGGGAAGAACTCATCGAAGCAGACGTTGGAGCAGCCTGGCTGGCGGGTGTTGCAGCTGAAATCCTTGTGGTCGTCACTCCACACACGCTCGGCTGTTACCAGGTACACCAGCACATGGAAGATGAAGACCAGAGTCAGTCAGATGCACCCAAAGGCTGTGGAGTACTTGTTGACCCCACTCAGGAGCCCCTCGAAGGTTCCCCAGTTCATGGTGCACCCTGGCGTCGGCTGCTACTGCGGGGAAATGATCATAATTTCCCACATTTACAGAATACCCACTCTGAGCACTTTATAGAGTATATCATTGTATTTAATTCTCACAGCCCATTTTGCAGATGGAGGAAACAGGTTTAGAGGGGTTATACAAGGTCACACAACTATCAGGTGCAGAGCTGGGATCTGAGCACAGGTAATTAAGTCTAGAACCTAACTCTTAGCCATAAAAGTGGCTGAAGGTAGGCTCATTCCGCCCAGGCCCTGTGGCTCTGGTCTCGCAGTCTTGAAGTGTGAAGGCATCAGTAGGTGGGCCATTCTGCCTTCTCCTTCTGTTAGCCCTGGTCCTCCTCTGCAGGGGACTGAGCCTTGGGAAGCCCTCTCCTTTCCTTTCTGAGCACTGCTCTCTCCCCTGAGCACCTCTTTCTTCCCTCCCAGGGAAACCTGCCCTTTGCCCTTTACTTGGCTTGGGGGTTGGGGCTGGAGAAGAGGCTGGAACCTTGTCTCCACATTCCCATCTGGTGTAATATTCTGTAAATATCCAGGCAGTATCCTGCTCAGGTGCAACTCAGTTGAAGCAAGGTCAATGGAAATCTTGCTGAAAGATATGGGAAGGAGCAATGGTTCCTTTTATATAACAGGCTTCCTAGAGTAGGTTGCTATTTCAGCGTTTCCCAAACTGGTGGTCCATGGAACCCTGTTGCATGGGCTGGCAATGGAGATAGTGAGAGGAAGGAATTCTGTGTTCAAGAAAAGTAGGCAAACACTATGTTCAGCAAAGTTAAATAGGTCCCTTTACTTGACCATGCTAATAAATTCACATTGTGAATCTCCAAGACTTGCCCAAACTCCTTTGACCACAGAACCTTTTTTTATCATCTTACGGAAAAGCCTTGTCAAGACACCAAAATGGGAAAGGCTTCTGTGGTCAGTTCTGCTGGTGAGTTTGGTAGGATGAACACACGGGAATCAGAGTCACACCCATGTAAGGAATGTGACTGCTTTTCTGAGTGAGGGGTGTCCACTTCCTCTTGGAATTCCTCTGGCTGGTTCCTCAGGGATCTCACCCTGCTGGCCCCCTGAGACCTCAGGGAGCCTGTCTGCACAGCCCCTTGCTGCAGGGGGTTCCTGAAGCCCTTCCAAGTGCTGGTCCAGGCTGAAGGTCACCGTGCTGTCCTGACACCCTGCAGGATCCGCCGTGGATGAACAGGGTCATGAGAACAGCCAACATTATTGGGTGTTTCCGTAGTTTCAGGCACTGTTCTGAGCACTTTGCATCAATTAAAACTGAAACTGTATGAGAGGGTATGATATCTGTTATTCCAAATTTACAGATGAGGAAAGCAGAGCAAAGAGAGGTTAATTAATTCGCTCACAGTCACATAGCTGATAAGTGGCAGATCAGGGATTCGAACCCAGGCAGGCTGTCTCTAGAGCCGTTCCTCTGGGCCTGGGCCTGTTTCCCTAAGTTTCAGGAAGTTGCTTAACTGTCTGATCTGTGCCCACTCCCTCCACTACCAGGTGGATCCCAGATGAGGGAGGCTAGGGGTGTCTCTGCTCCCTACTCTCTACTGTTCTGTGTACACTGCCTACTACTTGGACATGGGCCTCTGAATCATCTGCTTGTCTTTGCTATTTCCTGCCTGAGGTGGGTGGAACTCCTGGCACCTTCTCTGGGAATACCGGGAGGCTCCTGCCCTTAGTCCCCTTGGGGGCTCTGGCCATGCCCCACCCACCTGAGGTGGGGTGGGGTGGGGCTTCGCAGGCCTAGGCAGAGCTGCTCTGCCTGCTCAGCTCCCACCCCCACTGGAGCCCCTCTTCCACTCAGTCCCTGCTTCCCGCCTCTGCTCAGCTGGGGAGAGCAGGCAGGACTCAGAGCAGAGGAGGGAGGAGCCCTTTAGTCTTCCACTAGCAGGACCCATGGTGGCAGATGTGTCCACACCACCTCCCTCCACTCCCTGCCAGATCAGTCTTTCTCTGCCAGGTGTGCTGAGGGGGATGGTACTTACCTGAGTGGCTACCCTTCAGGGCTCTCCAGGTACCAGCTCCTGATAGCCAGCCGTTGGACTCAGCTGGAACTCATGTCGGGACTGGGGAGGGTGTTTGGGGAAGCCTGTTCCTGGGACGGAGCCTGCAGAGTAGGCAGCAACCTGCGTGTGCCGCTGGCCTGGGAGGAGGAGGAACTGCACCTGGCACTGCCATTGGCTGGGTGCCAGCCTCCCCAGACTGCCTCTGAGGAGGCCCAGGAAACTTGGAGGCCCACTCCTTCCAGGGTGCTGAGCCCAGAATCCTGGCACCTCTCAGGGGAGAACCATAGGTCCATCGTGACCCCCTGCTTGTCCTCCCGTCCCTGTGTGGGAGCAGCTGAGACCTGTCCTGCCCTCTCATCCCTCTCTGGAAATTCCCCACTGCCATTTCCTAGGACTCGGTGCCCTGCTCTGGAGACTCTCCTTTCTCTGGCTGCTCAGTGGCCTTCTGTTCTCATGGCTTCAGTAACCTTTGGGAACACTGTGACCCCCAAACTCTGTTCCCAGCCCAAACACTTTTGTCCCATCAACTGCCCTTACTTGGATGCCTTTTTCTCACCTTTCTCTTCACCTGCCTCTTCCTCTAAGAAGCCTCCCCCGACTGCACTGCTCCAGGTGGCATAGGGCCCCATCTCATGGTCCTGAGCTTCCACCACATCATCAGACTGTATTGGAATAGTTGATCTTAACTGAGCTTGTTCCAGGTAGACCCATCTATGAATTGAATGAATTGAATGAATAATCAATTCACATCAGTAGGCACTTCTTAGGGACTTGTCATGAGCAGGCTATAAAGCAGACCAGTGCCTGACCCCCAGGAACTTACCAACTTGGCCTTGATTACTGGCTTCTAAGTCTAGTACGAACTGCATAGCCTCTCATGACTGCAGAGGTCATGGAACCGGTTTCTGGGTGCAGCCTCCCCATCCCTGCCACCCAGGTGCTGCTGGCATCTGTTTCAGTCTTTGCATCTCAACACCGAGTGCAGAAAGGGGGCGTGGAGAGCCATCCTTTCTCCTGCATACACAGCTCAACCTTCCCCCAAACACACATTAAGCCCCTCTCCAACCCCTGCAGGGCTGACACCCCTTCCCCACTATGGGACCACACCCTGCTCTCAGCATGACACACACTGGTCTTTCCACCAATCCTTGTTTTAACTTCAAGAATCACTGCTGAGATGCCAGGTGCTGTGTTTGGTGCAGGACTACACAGATAAAAGAGTCATTACCACTGGGGCATGGTCGCCCAGCCTGGGACAGCACACAGCTGGGGACACACTGATGTAAGAATGGCTTTGAGGGTGAGCTCAGCAGGAAGGGGCAGGGATTGGACAAGTCCTGCCCAGAGCCGGGGCCTCCCTGTCTGATGGGGAAGGCATTTTAGCCAACTGTTTTAAAGCAGGGGACCTGTGAATCTGGGCCCACGCCCCTGCATCTGGGCCCCACACTCCTGTACCTGGAGCCCATAAACCCTTACATCTAGAGCCCATGCACCCCTACATCTGGAGCCTATACCCCCTGTATCCAGGCCCCATACCCCTGCAACCAGAGCCCATATACCCCTTCATCTGGGCCCCACACCCCTACATCTGAGGAGCCCCAGTACCCCACACCTGGACCCCACATCCATCCAGCTGGGCCCCACGCCCCTGAATCTAGAAACCCACAGCCCTGGGTTTGAATCTCACCTCTGGTACTTTTCTGGCAATCTCTGTTTCCTGATGTACAATGAGACATTTCATGCCCCTGAGGGGTGGGTGTCCTGTGAAGACAGCTTGAGCAGTGCAGAGCAGCGATAGGGCGTGGCCTGAATCCTGGCCCTGCCTCTTCCTCTCTGTGAGATGTGTCAGTTTCTTACCTGTATAGCGGGACAGTAACATCACCTACCTCGCAGTGACCCAGCCCGTAGAGGTACAGTGCCAGAACTGCCCAGCACAAAGGAAGCCCTTTCCTCTGAGGCATGTGAACTGCGCACAGAAGCCTGGAACATGGTGGGTACACCTCCCAGAACGACTTCCCCCCTTTTCCTTATCCTATGCCTTTTCTGTCTGAGATGCAGGGGAGGCAGATGTACTCACCAGAGGAAATCTCATGTGGGTGGATGCTGTCTTGGGTTAAAAAGGCAAAACCCCGGCCAGGCAGTCACTGACTGTCTGGAGAGGCTGGGAAGGTGGGCAGGGGACACCCTGGGAGGGGTTCTCATTCATGCACAGACATAGCCTGTTGGCCTAGATGACTTCTAAGGTGCCTTTTACACACAGGTCGGCAGGGTCAGAATTCAATGGACTGTGTATCCAGGAGCCACAAACACCAAGGTCCACAGCAAGCATAACACAATCCTACACGTACACACTCTCACACATGGGCTGCACTTATGGACACAGTGTTGTACACACACAGGGCACTGCTTTTTTTGTTCACTGCTCTACCTCTGGTACCTAGAATGGTGTCTAGTGCCAGGTTAGGCCGCATTTGTTTATTGGATGAATGATGTATGAAATGCATGTACCTTGCAAAGAAAGTCACACACATCTATCCCCCCCATAGTCTCTCCAAGAAAAGATTGCCGAGTCCAGGCGAGAGGACACATGTGGGTGGATCAGTACAATAATGAGCAGTGTTACTAGTGGCATATAAAAGAGAAGGGAGTGTCAAGTGCTGCCACAGGGAGACACACACTCACAAGGTGGGTCTTGAAGGGTATGTAGGAGTTAACCTAAAAAAAAAAAACCATCAATTACTTTCCCAGCAAAATGGGTTTATCTGGGAATAGCACAGAATTGCACTTTAGAGCACCCAACCTAGGGCAAAACCATAAGTCTTATTTTATGGAGAAGAAGGAAGAAGTTGGGAGGGGTAGTTCTGAATGAAGGTCCACTGGAGAAAAGCAAGAGTTCAGGGTGTTGGTTTCTCACTGGCTGAGTGGCCGGGTATGGAGTCCTTGCGGGAGATGCAACATACATCTTTCCCTGGTGGGGCCTAAAATTGGTGATTTTTTCCTGTTGAGATTCTTCTGGTGGGGCCTGTAATTGACATGGGGCGGTATGGCTCCAACTTCTAGCTTCCTGACTTCACTTCAGTGAGGGTTCCTTTTAGTAATTTTCACAGAGTTCACCAAGTGCTGATGAGGAGGACCTTTGTGGCAGAGGGCACAAAGTGTGCAGAGGATCTCTGTGAAAGACAGTGGAAGGGCTTCAGAGAGGGGACTGGGGACAGTAGGGACACCACGGGTAAGGCCCTACAGCCAGGACCTTCCGGACCCTGAAAGACCCGGAACGCCACTCTAAGGAGCTTGGATTTATCTTGGGTGCAGAGGGAGACACAGGAGAAGGAAGGATGCTAGTCAGTCAGAATGGCTGAGTTGATTTGGGTTATTCGTGGCAGTTAAGTTCTATAAAGTCACCACAAACTCTGAATTACTAAATATGGAAACTCTGCCAGGAGGTGAATTAACAGGGTTAGGTTCCTGGGAGGCTCGGGTTACAACATTTTCATCAACTGATCAATATATAACCTTGTTTTATGCATGTTTCCCTTTAAAGACACCTTATCTAATATGTACTGTTGATTCGCTAGCACTGAGCTCACAGCCTGCAGCGCTGTGATCACACTTGAACGGAGCTCACCTAACGCATGTATTTTCTGAGGCCCATCACAGCCTTCCTGCACCTGAGAATACTTGACAGCACTTCAGTGCTCTGCTTGGGGGCCACTTTAAACAGCAAAATCACCTTTCAACAGCACAAAAATGCAAAAAATGTGGCACTGAGTCGACCTCAAACAGGACATTGTTCACAGTAGGAGAGCTGAAACAAGAAGGCTGAGTGTCGCCTTATTTGACCTCAGCTGGGAACGTGCATGCCAGACCACTCAGAGGACCCTGAATCACCATGCATGTTGACTTTGGGGGTACAAATAAATTTTAGTGAGTGGATGAACTCACAAATATGGAATTTGGGAAAAATGAGGATTGGCTGTATGTTTAGAAAGCTCCCTCTGTTGGCGAGAAGGGTCATGCAGCCAGTAAAGAAGTTACTGCAATGATTTAGGCAAGAGATGAGCCAGAGGGTTGGGTATGGGAAATAGTTGGTGAGTACCAGTGGCAGTGTCTGGAGTCTGACTGGGTGTTGTGGGGTAGGTGGGGGGAAGACCCAGAATGGTTCCCAGTTCCCTAGCTGTGATTTGGCAGGAGGTGGGTCTTCCAAAAGGAGTAAGGAATACAGGAATGTAACAGAGGAAAACAAATCCCTGGACAACAGGAACGTTAAATGAAATGTGGACTCAAGTAGCCCCCAAAGCTTGTAACCATTAACAGGTGGCAGTTTCTTTCTGTTCTCCCTATTTTCTGAGTCTTACGGGTCAGAGATAATGTAGAAAGCTGATTTTGCAGAACCCAAGACGTCCTGTTCCAGGACACTGAGGAGGGACGGATAAGAAAAACAAAAGGCAATTGAAGCAGTGCAAGAATATCTGCTTGGCCCCTGGCCGGTTGCTACTTTATGTGTGTGCGCCCATGAACACCACAGCCCCTCTCCCACAATTTCCTCTTTAAAAGCCCTAACTTGTACTTTGGGGGGACAGTGGTTCTTTAAGGCATGAGCCTGCCACACCCTTATTTGCTGGCAAATTGATAAACTATTCCTTTCTTTTCCTCCAAACTTCATCATTGTGCTTTGTGGTTTGACTTCAGTGACAAGGACTGATTTTTGGTAACGGAGAAAACCAGGTTGTTTGCAGGGAGAAGGGAAGGCGATGTACAGGTGCTTTCCAGATGGTGGGGGTTAGGGAGCTCCGTGTTCCCTATGCTGGGTGGGGGCGTGTGCAGGACAGCCATGCTGACGCTCCACTGCCAGCAGCTGGCAGCAGTGGCTGGAAACAGGCTTTGGGAGTCCTCAGCCCTCACAGGGTAGTAAGAGCCGCAGGAGTGAGCAAGATGGCCTTGGGAGAGTGTGCTGAGTGAGAAGAAGGTCGAGGCAGAGCTCTGGGGAGTCCTGACATTTTAGGAAGCAGGCAGGAAGAGTTGCCTGTGGAGGAGAAAGAAGAGTCAGAGATAGAGATGTTAGTGGGGCAGCGCTGTGTGGGGAGCGGTTCTTGTCCCCACCACAACAAAGAATTGAAGGGCAGAGAC